GTTTATTTTGTCTTTTTGTGAATTACAACTTAAAAAGCATAATTTTAGCCATGGCCAAACAAGGATAACGTTTAATGTTGACAGCTTGTGGGGTCCTAAAATAAAAAATAAATAAATAAATAAAATAAAAAGGTAAATTATAAATGTACTTTTTGAGATTTATTTAAAATATGAATTATTTTTGTGGTTTGAAAAATTACATTACAATTTTTCATTTAACAGAATTAATTGAAAAAATGAAGGGTATGTTTGGTTTGTGTTTGAGAGATGTGTTTTAGAGATAAAAAGTACGAAAACATGTTTGGTTTGGTTTTTTTTAAAAGATGTTTTGAAAAATTATTTTGAGATAGAGTTTTGGAAAAAGTGATTGATTTGATATGTGTGAGAGAGAGATTTGTTTGGAAAACTTGTTTGGTTTACAAGTTTTGAGAAATTTTTTTGAGAAAATTTGTTTGGTTTGATTATTTTTGAAAACTTATTTGTAGAGAAAATTTCCCAAAATTTTTTCAGAAAATCAAACCAAACGAGCCCGAAATTTCTAACTGTTCATCTATACAATAATAAAATTATCTGAATTATTAATTGAAATAAAATTTTAACATTATTAAAAACTATTAATTGTGATTTATTAATAAAAAGATCTATTTGTTATGAAATTAGAAACCTTAGGGGGCATAATATAATTTCTAAAATCTCATTGGTAATTTGTAATTTAAGTAAATTTTAGAGGATGTGTTTGTAATTTATCCAAAAAAATAGTAGGAATGATAATATTATCTGATTTGATCGTATTTGTTCCAATCAAATTTTAAAAGAAATATTAAGATAGTGTTTAGTAGAGTTTTAGAATTATGATTTGAGAATATAATTGTATTTTAAATTTATGAGTTTCAGAATTATAATTTGAAAAGAGAAAATTTGTTTAGTTATGAGTTTTGAAAAAAGTTTTGAATTGAGTTTTGAATTTTTGAGATGGCATATGAAATGAGAAAAATTGTTTGGTTATAAGTTTTGAAAAGAATTTTCAAAACTTAATTCAAAAACTTATAACTCATAACCAAACACACAATTCAAAACTCTATTGAAAATTTTATTCAAAATTTATAACCAAACTCTTTTCAAAATTCAATTCAAAAAAATAATTTGTATATTTGAAAAATATCAAAAACAAATATAAATTTTTTTTTTCCAAATAACAGGTCGCAATTGGCAATTGCAAAAAAATAAAAAAATTGTACTGTTCCCGTCAACCGCCCGAACGACCGGCCGAACGTCCGGGAGAATGTCCGGGCGGATGACCAGGTAGACCAAAAATTCAAAATTTGTCTGCGTCACCAAACATGTTTTCAAAATATATTTTTAAATTGATTTGGAATCATAATTTAAAAACTCAAACCAAACATAGCATTCAAATATAAGGGTGGAATTAATTTTCGAAAGGCTCACCAAGAGATTGTAAGGCTCACCATGAATCTTATTTTGATAATCCAAATCGTTAATGTTGTAAGGTCTTAATGTATATCATTTATGAAAAAAATTAATTCGATTTAATAATCGTAACATTTTTATTTTATCGTATTTGTCTTTAAAAACATTGATGATCTTTTTTTAAAAATATATTTGTAATTCATTTTTCCGAGACAAATATAATAAAATGAAAATACTACGATTATTGGATAGAATAATTTTTTTTCATAAATAATATATATTGAATGTCTTACAAAATGAAAAGTTCGGATAATCAAAAGGGGAGTCACGGACCTTTCAAATTCTCTCATATGTAAATATGAGAGAAGCTCAATCATTAAAAAAATATATACATTTGAAAAAGCATTAAGAGTTATGCTAGAGACCTTAAATGAATTACCAAACCTCTCACATAAATGTGAGACCACACAAATCACATGTGTGTGAGTCTCACACACATGTAAGAGATTTGATAAAAAATTTGATAATTCATTTGGGATCTCTAACATTTTCCAAGCATTAAAAGGATAAAACCAAATATACAGGTAGGTAGGCCAAAACTATCATAGTTAAGATAAAATATAAAATTATATCACTAAATTAGTTGATTTTAAAATTATGAATTCACGCACAAAATTCAAAAATATCTGACCCGTTGCCATCTTGCTGAACTGTAAGATCCAAAAAAATTATATAAATTTGGAGAATACAACTTATCTTGTGTTGAGGTCCAATATTTGTGCAATTTTTGTCTTGGCCTATTGTGTAGCCCCCCCTTCCCGGTTGCCATCTTGCTAAATTGTGAGATCCAAAAAAATTACATAAATCTAGAGGATACAACTTATCTTGTGTTGGGGTCCAATATTTGTGTAATTTTTATCCTGACCTATTGTGTAGTCTGTTGGAAATGGTTATAAAATTTTAGGTAAAATCAGAATTTTTTCTTAAGTTTGGTCTATTTTTTAGGTAGGCCTCGTGCGTCGATTTTCACGGGTCAAAGTGGCAACGCGTTGTATGTCGCGTTGTGATTCACGTGGTATATTTGGTTGCTCAAACTTATTACCGAGTGAATGGGAAATTGAAGCCAAAGTGTGCTCCAAGTTTTGGTGGAAATTCCTTAAGGTTGTAAAATGGCTTGTCCCACATTGATTTGGTGGGAAGTTTTGAATGGGTTTATAAAGCATGAGTTTGGTACTTGGGATGTGCCTCAAGGGGTACCCAAGTGTTTTAGAGGGAGAGGTTATGCTCAAAATGAGCTAGACTCATTGGACCCAAAAATCACCACACGCGTCCGCCCACCTGCCTAACCGTGCATGATGTAAGGTTGGGCTTGTTCAGCCCAATACTAATCTTTTTAGGCAAAAAATATTTGAATTTTATTTTATTTTTTTGGTAAAATAAAATCCAGTACATGCAAACAAGGCCTTTCCTGAAAATAAACTGGTCTGGTTTTACTGTACATCCAAACCGTTTTTTATCTGTTTAAATTATGAACCCAACAGATTCAAATTTGTTTGAATTCAAAATCAACAGGTTCACACCTGTTTAATTCAAACCTAACAGCCATAATTCCATCTATAAATAGGACAGCCCTCATTTGGATTTTGTAACTCTAATAATTTCATCCTTCATAATTCTGCAAATATTCTTTTCATATTGCTGCATTATTTTCTTCTGTGAGAGAGTATAAACACTTAGTGTGTTCGTTAGACAGACAATTTGTAGTGCTACTATTGTTTGTAGTAGGTCATTTTATCCTAGGAGATAGACGCCCAAATTCTGAAAGTACCGTGGAGAGGACGAATCTGTCTTAAGGACATAGTGTCAAACACTGGACTTGATCAGATAATTATTCAAAGAAATTAATCAAGTAAGTTGTTTAATTTATTATTCTGTTTTATTTATTTATTTAAATCAGATTTTAATTTTGTTTTTGTAACAAAATAAAATCTGTTTTTATTTATTTTGTTTTATTTCTAGTTTGATTTTTGTAATCAAACAAATTCTCTCATTTCCTTTATTTATTTATATTCTAGTTGTTGTTCAGTACACAATATAATTTAATCTACTTAAATACAGTAAAGATTGTTCAACATAGTCCCCCCTCCCGCGTTGCCATCTTGCTAAACCGTGAGATCCAAAAAAATTACATAAAAATGTTTGTGTAATTTTTGTCCTGACCTATTGTGTAGTCCCCCTCCCCCGGGTTGCCATCTTGATGAACTGTGAGATCCAACAAAATTACATAAATCTGGAAGATACAACTTATTTTGTGTTGGGGTTCAATATTTGTGTAATTTTTATCCTAACCTATTGTGTAGTCCCCCCCTCCCATCGCCATCTTGCTAAATCGTAAGATCCAAAAAAATTACATAAATCTGGAAGATACAACTTATCTTGAGTTAGAAAGAGTTAAATTTATCTTGTGTTGGGATCCAATGTTTGTGTAATTTTTATCCTGACCTATAGTGTAGTCCCCCCTCCCCCCAAAATTTAAAAAAAAAAAAAAAAAAAAAAAAACCTGTATTTAGAAAGAGTTAAAAAACCAATTATAAAAGTCAAAATAATAAATTTTTTTACTAATAAGATTGAGTAGGTCTTTGGGGTTGAATTTTAATAGCTTTTTATTTTATTTTTCGTATTTGATGAATTTTTTATTAAAAAAATTTTAATTTTTTTTAAACTTTTAAATTTTACTCAATTAGACTGATCAGATAAATTAAAGAATTTTAAAAAAAGTCTTTCTTTATCCGTCTTTATTGATTTTTTTTTTCTTTTTAAATTCGTCTACACAAGATGAACTTGAAAAGTAAAAAAAATTGACATAATTTTTTTAAAAAAATTACTAAAGATTAAAAAATATATATATATATGATTTTTTTAACTGTATGTCAAACTTACCCTGAGTTTATGAAAAATAAAAAATAAAATTAATGCACAATATGTCATTACGAATCAAATTAAAGATACATTTTAGAATCACAAACATTTTCTTTTTTTCAAGTGTTCACTTCTAATCTTAGAATCTCACTGTGAGAATGGTAATGATAGGAAGAGATTAGGCATGTGAGCATTTCGGTTTGAGTTGCTTTTTTAAGAAAAATGATCAATTTGTTCATTCTTGGTGTATTGAGAATTCCTTAATTCGTATATCTCAATTTATTCTCAAAATGATTTAGTTAAATATTTTGATGGATTCAAACCAATGATTTAAGCAGATTAAGTGATTTAAAAATGCAAAATAAAAAGAACATTAATGATTATCTAATAAGCTTAATTTTTTACAATTTCAAAATCAAAATTAATCCTTTATTTCAAAACCCAACACAAATTTACAAAAGTGGAATGCATGATATTATTTAAAATCATATTTCATAAATAAATATGCAACATTGATCGCAGAAGCACTTAATATACTTCTGCAGAGAGCTAGAAATCTGAATCTGTTACAAGGGGTTGTCATCAGATCCAATCGGGTAGTGATCTCTCACCTTCAATTCGCAGATGACTCTTTACTATTTTGTGAAGCAGAGATGTCCGAAGTTCTCTGTTTGAAGCGGATTCTTAGATGTTTTGAAATAGCTTTAGGGCTTAAAATCAACTATCATAAAAGTGTGTTTTGTGGGATTGGACTCTCTGATCTAGATCTTCATGAGTTTGCCCTCTTACTTAATTGCAAGGCTCAGAGATTGCCATTAAACTACTTAGGCCTGCCGTTGGGTGCAAGCCCTAGGAGAAAGAAGACTTGGAAACCTATTATTGACAAATTCAAAATGCGACTTGCTGGGTGGAAAAAGAGATTCCTCTCTTTTACAGGAAGATTAACATTGGTGAAGGCAGTGCTATCTAGTCTACCAGTGTATTTCATGTCTTTATTCAAACTACCTGAAGGTATAGCTAAGGAGTTAGACAAAATTCAAGCTTCATTCTTATGGGGGGGCTCAGAATTGAAGAGGAAAATCCATCTGGTGAAATGGTCGGAAGCATCTAAGAGTATCAAGCAAGATGAGCTAGGCATAAGAAGAATTAAAGATGTGAATGTGTGCTTGCATCTCAAATGGTGGTGGAGATTTGCTTCGGAACATGACTCATTATGAAAGAGGGTCCTCTGCAGTAAATACAGGTTCCTTGGAGGAAATTGGTTGCCTCATCTTAACTCAAGCATTATCCTATCTAGACTATGGAGTGGTATTGTATCAGTAGTTGAGCAAAAAGTATCTTTACTCACTTTTTATGTTTCCAACTTACATTTAAGAGTGGGCAATGGTTGTAGAATAAAATTCTGGCATGATAAATGGGGTAGAGATATCTCTTTTAAAGATGAATTCCCAAGGTTATTTCAATTATCTAATGATAAGGAGGGATCTATTAGGGACCTTGTGGAGATCAGAGGCAGCTCTTACAATTGGCCACTCACCTTCAAGAGACATCTATTTGAATGGGAAAAAGAGGAGCTACTTAGAATTAATGGAGTTTTAAGAGGAGCACCTGCATTTAATCTTCAGGTTAATGATTTGGCTCTTTGGTCTGCTGCTAAACCCGGTCAAACCCTTGTTTCTATTTTCTACAACCATACCAACCTTGCTCTTGGGCCTAATGCCATCTTCAGTAGATGGGTGTGGATTAATTATCTTTCTCCCAAAGTACAATTCTTTGGCTGGCTTGCATGGAGAAATAAGGTTAAAACATTAGTTTTCCTACAACAGCTTGGAAATTTGGACAGAGATTCTTCTACCCTATGTACTTTCGGCAAGTCCCAGCAAGAATCAATTGAACATGTGCTGATTTTTTGCCCCATGGTATGGAGAGTTTGGTCTGAGTTACTGTAATGGTGGGGGGTTGTTTGGGTGGTCCCTGGGTCTATTCAAGGACTGTTTTAGTGGTGGGCTAGGTATAGCTGTACATTTGAAGAAAGAAGGATTTGGAGTGCAATTCCTCTGATGACTTTCTGGTCATTGTGGAAACAGAGAAATGAGTGTCTCTTCCAAGGCTCACAATTACAGCTTCAGGATCTTCATGAACTCATTATCACCAGATTAGCCTTCTGGTATAAAGCTGCATCCAAGAGATGTCCATTTTCAATTAATGACTTCCTTTCTAGCTTCCCACAAATCAGATATTGCCTTGGTGCTAGCTCCTAGTAGTCATCTTGCATTATGAAGTCTAGTTGCAGTCAATGTTATTTTGTTCCTCTCAGCAGCAACTTCCTTTGCTTCCTGTTCTGATGCTGATCTACTGGTGCTGATCTATTAGCTCTGCTCTTGGTGCTATTCTTTTAGGCCTGATCTGTCTTGCTCTAATCTGATCTGTTATGCTTTGTTCTGATCTGTTTTGCTCTGTCTTGGTGTTGTAATTCTGGGCCTGTTCTGATCTGTCTTGGTGCTGCATTTCTGGGCATGTTCTCTTCTTTTTTGCTTTATTTTGTTTTGTTGGTTTCTCACCAACCGGAGCTTGGAGCTTGTGCTAGCTCCAAGCTCCTCTTTATTGATGTTTTCCTCATACTATGTATGTTTTCATCAATAAAGATCTCTCTTGCTGTTAAAAAAAAAATATATGCAACACAACCAAATTAAAAAGATAGGAGATTTTTTTTTAAGGTCTCTGATATTAAGATTTTATAGGATATAGGACGTTATATTTTCATAGTGGTTGGGGTTTCTCAACATTTTTCCAGAGAAATTTCGATCAAGGGAAATTTCAAATCAGATAAATTTCGCTGAGTGTGTTTGTGTGTTCATGTTTGGAATTTCTCTGAACACATCAGAATCCTCTTAGAATTTCTTTGAGTGTGTTTGTGTGTTCATGTTTAGAATTTCTCTAGGCATTTCACTGAAATTTCTCTAGACACATCACAATCTCACAGTGTTTGAGAAAATTCAGTAGTGACCACAACCAGAGAAAATTCACATAGTGATCACAGCCAGAGAAAATTCATGTAGCCAGAGAAAATTCACAAAATTACAAACAATGATCACAACTAGAGAAAATTCACACAGTTCCCATATCTAGAGAAAATTCACACAGTCTAGAGAAAATTCAATCTGATTTACTTACACAACTTTCAATCTGATTTGCTCACACATCACAATCCCCTCGTCAAAATTCCATGATCACTGATTCTTTGCCAAAATCTGCATGTGTACGTGAGAGAAAGAGAAAGAAAGTGAGAAAGAAAAAGAATGAGAATCGTAGCCCTCTCAACCACCTCTTCTGTTTTCCTTTTCAATTTTTTTAGCATACTTTTAATATCATTCAACTAAACAATTCCTCATTTTATTAATTCACATCATTTCCAATATATCTCTCCACACCTCCCCACCACCACCTTTTGTTTTTTATGCTTCCAAAATTCATATATAGCAATCATACCCAAATACCAAAACAAAATGTCTGTTGAAAGCCATTACAATACAGAGAGAAATTGAGAAAATATTAAAGAAGACCGGTGAAAAGGGGATTATGATGGCGATTCAAGCGCAATTGTATTCAAATAATTTTGGGTTTTCTTTGAGAGGTTCATAGAATTGGATGGGCAATGCTTATTTTAATCTTCAACAACATCAATTGTTGAATCTACAACAGAAAACTCAAAATCGGTGTTTTGAAAACTGTTAATCATATTGTTTAATTTTGATGATGTCTAAAATATTACTTAAAAAATTGTGATTTTTTAATATACATATTTTATATTATTTGACACAAAATATTATCTGTTTAAAATATATATTGCATGATATATTTGTTATATATATATATTATTTAAATAAAAATATTTTGAAAATTTTATTATTCACGATTTTGAAAAATATGATTGATTACTATTCATATTTTGACAAATTTAATATTAATTAGTTATATTATTTTGACAAATTTGATATTGATTGGTTGTATTCTTTTGACATATTTGATTTTGGTAAGTTGTTGTCTTTTGACAAAATTTGATATACCCATATGGGTGGTTGGTTATTTTTATTAAAGTATATTTAAAATCCCTATAATAACTATAAAATTTTTAAAATGAGTATATATTTTCATATCTGATATAAATATTATTTAATAAAATTTTATTATATTTAAATAGAGAAGTCATTGTGCATTTAAATATTTTAATATAGAAATTACTGTACATTTAAATATTTTATTAAAAAATTACTATGCAGTCACTATGTACGCTTTGACCTTACGAGATTTGGTTTGAAAAACCAGTCATTATAGTATTCATGTATGAATTGAAATCAGTTGTGCTATGTAGCTCGAAAGAGAGATTCCCCGAATTCAAAACAACGTCGTTTCGTCGTTTTGATTTTTTATTTTTTTTTCAATAACTGGTAGAAGAAAATCAGAAAAGAAAAAGGAAGAAGAAGAAGAAGAAGAAGAAGAAAGAAAAAGAGAATAAGAAGAAAGAGTAGCAGACAGAGAGATCATCAACCACCAATCATCATCATCATCATCAACCACCCAACACATCATTATCATCGTCACATTATCACAGATCGGAGGCGGAGATCAGAAATCGGAGGCCTGCGACGATCGGAGGCGAAGGCGGAGACAGAGGTGGAGGCAGCGGCGATCGACTCTTTCTCTCTCTCCCTCCATTCCCTCTTCCTCTCTCTTCTCTTTCTCTTTCTCTTTCTCTTTCTCTTCTTTACTCTTCCATCTGCTTCAGACATAACAAAAAAAAAAAAAAAAAAAAAAAAAAAAAAAACTACCCAAAACGACGTCATTTTGGGCAGTCGGGGGATTCGGGGAGAGAGAGATTCGAGCTACGAAGGATTATTCAATTGAAATTTCATTTTGCTTACCTTTTTCAACGAGGAGCGTTTGACTTCAAGGAAGCCTGGCCCTCGCACGCCTTGCGTGCCCACGTGATCCGGAACGTCTCTTCTCCTAACAAGTAGTATTTTGGATATAAATAGAGGTATATTGTGCAGAGAAAAATAAAAAACTTAAAGAGAAAAAAGATTATATATTCCAAAATTCTGAATGTATTTTTTAGTTTATTTTTTTACTTTTAGATTAAGTGTTGTCTTTGTTTTTACATTTTCATGAGAAAAATTTTATGAGAAAAATTTTGTAAGGGTGATACATATATTGTTGAGTGAGGCTCAACGGATAAGAGTAAGATCTGTGTAAAATTCACAAGCTTGATGAAGTTTTGGTGGTGTATTAATTCATTTTGATAGTGAAGAAATTCCGAAGGAAATTCGTTGGGAAATGGACTTAAGCCCAATGTGTCAAACTACTATAAATCTCAGTGTTTGATTTTTTCTCCTTATCTCTCTTACTTTTATATTGATAATTATTGTTATGTTTTTTATTTATTAAAATTTGAATATTGTGTTTATTATTTTTAATATTATAAAATTATTTTTAATAACCAGTTCACCTCCCTCTTGGGTTGGTTACTTGAGATAACAAAAATAATGGGTTGATTTCGTCAGTTCGATACTGGTATTGTAATTCATAATCTTTGTCTGTGTGTACGCCTTTTGCTGGTGTTGGGATCAAATTTAGAGCGAAAATAGGGCTCTCTGGTCGGGAGGTAGTGGATGAGGTATCGGTGTGGGAAAGGCAGAGAGAGGAGAGAGAATGAGAGAGTTGGTGTTGCCCAAATGTTAAACAATCATGGGGAGAGAGAGAAGAGAGGATGAGAAAGACAGAATGGAGAGAGGATATGGTTGAATGACCGTAGACTACAAAAAGAAATATTGTGGATTTCTCCTATTACTAAAAGTTGAAAAATGAATGTTAGTTTGGCATAAACTATAAAAATTAAAAACTCAAAAAATTACTAAAAAAATCAAAAGTCCATACTATTTGGAAAAAGTTTATGGGGGAAGTTTAGAGGGCAAAATTCCCTTGTCTAGAAGGCAAAATTATTATTTTACCCTTTGAATTCAATAACCCAAAAGTCAAGTCAAAAAGTCAAAATGGTAGAATGATCCTTTTGTTTTTACTATAATATTTTATTACATATTTTTTCTTAAAAAGTCAAAAAGTTATCCTAAACATACATTCTTTTTTCTACTTTTTCAACCAAAAAATTAAAAAATATATTTATATAACACATCCCAAACAATTACTAAATTTTCTTCAAAAATATAATATATGTGATGAAAATGAGATATGTAGTATTAGAGAGGGGTTGTATATGGGTAAGTACAAGGTAATTTTGCAAATACATATGGGTTGGTTAGGTTGATTTATAGGCCAACTAATCCACCGATTTAGTCTTCGTTGGGCAATAATTTTTTTAGTTGGCTTTTTAATTTTTTTGACTTTTTTAATTTGGAATTTTTTTGTTTGTTTAGTATTTTTTATTGGCTTTTTAGCTTTAGAATAGTGATTTTTTTTGGTCTTTTTGTAGTTTTTGTCTTTTTGTGATTTTTTGACTTTTTTTTTTTAAAATCTTTTTGTGATTATTTAGCCTAACATGAAAACCAAACACCACCTTAATCCAACTCGCTCAACTTTTCAAATTGCACGGGATGATTAGGGTCAGTTTGAATTGGTACGGTTTGGTATGATTGATGATATTTTTACGCGGCCTTAGAAAAAATGGTAAACTACTAATAAGTCTTAAATGTTGGACTTAATTTTCATCAAGTCATATTAAAAATAAGTCTTTGTAAAATTGTTGTTAAAAATAATTTTTTGTGACAATTTGTTATATACGTTACTAAAAATTGACAATTAGTGACTTGTTTTTGTCATGATTTTTATAAATTATCACTAAAACTTACAATTGACTTTTTTTATAACAAAATTTTCCTATAGGACCTATTAGACAATAAATCTACTTATTAGGACCTACATGTAAGTACTCCTAGAAAAAATTAGGATAAATTACCAACACTCTTATCAAGATTTGACTAAAATAAGAATTTTTTTTTTGAGGTTTGAGAAATTGCATATTGTTCTCTGAGACTTATATTTAGGCCAAGTTTGGCATATTACAAAAAAGTAAAAAAATCAAAAAATTACTCAAAAAGTTAAAAAGTTAACACTATTCACCAAAAGTCAACAATTACGGCTGCACAACTCTCAATCCTAATTTTTCCCCCCAATTCTAATTTTTCCCTACAAATCAATTTTTATAATTTTTTATTACATATTTTTCCATAAAAAGTCAAAAAGTTAA